GGAGAGGAAATCAATGAACATAAATCAAATGTAATATTTTTAACCAAAAAATTAGATTTACATTGGATAGAAAAGATTATTTTGCTACTAATGATATATTCACTATTAATAAGATATGTAGAAAATATATGAAAAGTCTGTATGTTTCCATCGTTGATGTTAGAAAAGCAAATAGAGAGATCAGGAAAGATCATCAATATTCATTACAAATTTTTATCAAAACTTGTGACATATGTCATGTTTGTACGTTTATTTCTTACATTCGATAAGTCGATGAGTATAATTACTTAGTATAATTACGATGAATATTACTTAGTAACACATAATAAATTTTGATTGCAACGATAATTTGTTCAAATTTAAATTTACATTGTACAGTTATTCGTAAGATGTAAAAATTTCGCGTCAGAAAAATAACCGATCATCGTAAAAAGATAATGAGTAGAGGAGCAGAGACATTCCTCAACCGGTTTTACCTTTTCACATACATGTCACAAGAGAAACGAGCATAAATCGAATTCAGTCGAAAGCGAAAGGACCGGTCGACGGAATTTAAATACCTTCATTTCAATTCGGACTTCGCGATCAGACTACGAGTGTGTGACAAAAATAGCTCGGGAATTATTTAGAGATTTGCCTTCTGATTAGGCTATTCCTTAATGCTACCCTAATCCTAAAATTTTATAATAATTGTATATAAAATATCAAAATTTTAAATAATTAGTTAAATAAAATTAATCAATCATACAGTTATTAGTCAAACATTTAAAACATTTTTTATTTACCTTTTCGATCTATTGATCGTTCATAGATTTATTCTAATTACTGAAAATAAATTGCACTCTTTGTGCTGTATTTGCTTTTTAAATATTTTCCAAAAAATGCAAAACATGTTCTACAAAATTGCTTTCTATAAAATCATATCTGTGCAAGTACGAATCGAGAACGAGCGTTCACTCCAATCGTAAAAATTCGGCAAAGTTATTGATAGGAGTGTTAATAACTGTTGCATATGTCACCAGACATCCACGCAACGAGCACGTGTTGAACCGTAGTTGCTACCTTCAGTGTCAGCCGATTTATGTATATTCCAATACAGAATATATTTTTCTTTTTTTTCTTTTTATTACTCAGATGAAGGCGCCGCTGAGGTCGAATCTTCACGGCCTTATCGGCTTCGTGTTTCTGGTTCGAAGCAGTAATGATAACCAATATTTATCCTCAGCTTTTCTTTCTCTCTCTCTTTCTCTTGGTTCTAATGCCCTCGTCGATCGAGGAATCTTACCGAACAAAGTTTAATCGTGCCAAAACTACACGTACACGCATAATGAACAAAGCGGGAAATAAAAAATGATAACTAAATATAGCGAGAAATTATATATACATATACATACGTATAAGAGATGCTGAATAATTATTTCTATATTTGATTATTTAATATTTGCTAATGCTTATTAAAATGCAAGTCTCTTTTCTGACGTAAAAAAAGATGATGAATATGATTTGAAAACTAGACAATTAATTTGCTCATATTTCAATAATTAAATTTCCAAATTTAGAAATAAATTCGTTAATAGTTCTTGATACGTAAAAAATATTTGTTATTATATAATCATCATATTATCTTATAATCCTTCGCACAGATTATCTCCTGAGTATCAAAAGAGTTGCACTTGGTTACACTTAATTAACTGTTGCGTCTTTAACTTTTATTCGTGATATGTAATGTGATATCATTCGAGAATCACGTGGCTGTAAGTTGACTTTTTTTAACTATGACATGAGAGATTAGTAGACAAATCGAAAGACTGATAAGGTGTCATTCGAAGTATCACGTTAAGAGATTCTCAGTTTCCATTAATAATGAAATATAAGATACATTAATTTCTCAATAAATCTTCATATACTTTACAATTTCATTAATTGTAAAACAGTTATCAAAAAGATGACTTTAATATTGATTTAAACGGTGAAATAAACAAATTGACTATTATTGTTTACGATAATAATGTTTACTTTTACTGATTTTTTATATTCTGACAAATAATAAACGCTCTCATAGAAAAGATATCAAAATTTTAATATAATCTGATAAATCAAAATGTATTTAGATTGACATTCCATTTTTTGACTGTACATTCTATAATATCCAATCTTTTCATTTCTTTGCTCATTTTTTTCGGAAAATATTTTTTCGCGATAATCGGCAGACAGGTTTCCTCCGGAAGTGTGAATACTTCGGCATGCACATATGTGCAAACATATAGGTGAATAGAAATTATATTTATGAATATGAATGCCATGCTTTACATATGTCAGTTTAATAGAATTCCGCGTGAGCGTATGCGAGGGACGATTGACCGGAAAACACGCGTTTTCCTGTGGGGGCACGAGAGCACGCGGCCACACGCATATGCGCGTGAACGTGGTCCAGGAAGCCGGCTAAGCCGGTTTCGAGCAAATATCTGGACATGGAACATGTTCAATGAACGTTTATGAATGTCTCCACAGATTCAAGAGTCGCAAAAAATTTTCGCTTTTAATAGTCAAAAAAGTTATCAAGTTCTCCACTCATTGAACAGTATTTAATTTCTTTTAATGCTTGATTATTTGATTAAAATAAAATTATATTGATAAATTATGTAATAAAATTAAACTATTGTTTATTAATTAATGAAAAAAATAATAAATTAATTAATAAAAAATTCTCCAGTTATTTAATTTTATAAAATTAAATAACTGGGGAATGTTTTGAGAGAACTGTCAGATTAAATTTATTTTAATTAATCATCAAACTTTTAAATAAATTATTGAATAAAATTGCAGTTTGTGCTTTTAACTAATTGTATGAAAATTCCTTAGCACGTCTAATTATGCAAGGCTTAAGTGTGGATAGCCAATTCACTAATGATACGATATAATACGTGAGTGAATTGCGCAGGTTGTGTCGTGTGCGGAAGTTATCTCGGATCTTGTTTGTAAACAAAGAATCCCCTTTAAGAAACGATAATACATGTGGTGAACGGTCGTTACTTCGGTTGGGTGTGAACAAATTCCGATCACGCGTGTAAATGATTAGAAGCCGTTTAATTAAAATTCACATATTATCTTTTAGTTCTAATTAATCTCCCGCTTAGAATATCGCGCAATGTCATGATAAAGTACGTAACAATTCCGATTAACGTCGCGCAATTATATCGGCATTTTTTACCAGGAAACAAAAATATTATATCGATAAACAAGGAGCAAAAGTTCAATTATACATATTTCACAAAGAAATTTTTTTATCAGTATTTTCCGCAATTAAAAACAACATAGTTTATGAGAGATTAGAAATTGATAATTTTTTGCATAACATTATTCTCATGCACGTTTTCCTAACACGTGTTTTTTACATCAAATCCTCGTTAAAATTTAACTTTTGTTAAAATAAAATTTTTATAGAGAATTTTTTCTAAAAGTTTCCTAGAAAAATTTATATCTGTAGAAATTAAATTTTTTCACTGTAATCTCATTCGAGTCACATTTATTTCAAAATCTGAACTTGTCTAATTCTATGCCTAAATTTAATATATCATAAAATACATCAGAATCGAAACATTAATTAATAAACAATAGCATTGATAATAAAGTGTCAAGCACGTACACAAAAGCTTTTGTTACATTGTTGGAGATAAACACGCACAAGTCGTATGCACGTAAAATGTAAAATTCGTGATTATAAGTCATTCTCAGACATAAAAGAAACATCCAGGCTAATGCAGATATAAGCATATTTCGCAGTGTGTCTGCAAATTGCATCTATAATCTATAACTACTGCACTATTGTGTTTGCTTGGAACACAGATACAATATTTCAGGATAATATTAATTTTTAATATTATAAATTTTTTAATATAACTACACACACACACTAAAAAAATTTATTGAATTCGAATAAGTATTTATTTTAATACTGCCAAATAATCATTTATTTGAAATTAATAATATTGAGATTTGACATAAAAAATATTTATTTGATATAAATCCTTTTCAAAACAAATAAATATTGATTTGTTTCAAATAAATGATTTATTAGGCAGTATTGAAATAAATATTTATAATTTAATCATTTCTTTCAGTGTATAAATTTTTAGTTATATAAAAATATACTTCATGTTAATTACCATAATTTTATTTTAAACTAAATAGACTGAATTTTTATGTGAATATATCGTCGAATCTGGCAATAAGCTTATTGAAAAATGATGATGTTAACTTCAGCAATTTTTATCTAATTTTGTAATTACATGTTAAATGCACAATTCATTTTTATAAAGATATTATATTTTAATGTATATATACTTTAATATTGTGATCTCTGATTTAATAAGAGAAAAATATAAAAAAATATATCTTTCCATAGAGAATATAAAGAATGTTAAATTTTTGGAGCAAGAATGTCTCTCAAATACATATAGCAAAAACACAAATTATTACAATACAATTTTATTGTTTTATTGATTCGTCTTTCGGAATTAATAATATATTATTAAAAATTCTTGAATTTTTAAATTATATAAAATTAATTAATATTAATTATTGATGATATCGAAACCAACACACAATATGATTCTGACATATAAAAGATTTCAATATAAATATATTTTCTCTTCGTGTAAAAAAATATCCTTGGTATTTAGCAGCAAACTTGGTGACTTTAATTGTTACGATAGGAAACTTTATAATTTGAACAAAATATACTTTTTTTTTAATTTCGTATGTTCTATTATTTTAGTGAACAGACTTTTTTACTTGCAAGCATGATGAAAAAATATCCTTTAACGCGAATTAAACTCAAATTGAAAATTAATGATGACTATACATTGTCGAATCGTTCGCATCGTAAGTGCTGGTAATAGAATCAATTTCGCGAGATCAAGCGTGCGAATGTACGCATCACCCACGCGTCAGATGCTATTAAACCAATAAAGAGTGATAAAGAGTAGCAAATTACTTACCGTTTCTCTGCAGTAACGACAGACTCCTGCGACACGACGAGGAATGGGATTTAAAGAAAATTTCCTTCCGTTTCTCAACAACTTCCGCCGACGTTCCTCTTTCTTCCTCAGGAGAGCATTCCCCGTTTTTTACTCCGCAACCTCAGGATCGGTAATCGTGTTGTTGAAATTGTCTTCTTCTTTCTCTTCCTCGAAATCTTTTATACGACAGTACATGACATCGCGATGTTTCGCGACTGTTAAATTTCGATCTTTATTACGAAGGATGTGTAATAATCTCTTCTCTCTCTCCTCTCATGTGATGATGCTAACCGCGGCCTAGCGCATCGCACGCCTGTCCGTCACCGACTCCGTCGCACACGACCGACAGCGGGCGTCTTATCTTAATCCGTTCGACATTCGATCGGACGTTCCTCGAGCGATATTACGAAAAGTCGCGAGATCGCGATATCGTTCGAACGAAGCGAGAGTTGACAAAAAAATAACAACTCTCCGCCTTCGAGAGCTCGGACGACGTTCGCGCCGTTCAATCAACGCGGTACCAATCCACCTTCGGCTACGTCCGTCGCACGTTTGAACGCGAGCCGGCCGGCGCGGCGCGGCGACGCAAAGGCGCGCGCGCATGCGCACCTAATGTCACGAGTGACATTCGTGATCGAGAAGCGTCTGCGAATCGAAGCAGCGCGGAGTCACGTGCTTCTTGCACTTCTCGCGCTTGCAGCCATCGGACTTGATTTTCTCCCATATATGCATATACATATAGTGGCGACACGATTTTAATATTCTCGGTTTTCGTCTCTGCGAGCTTTTAAATGTCCTTTTTAAATGTGTCGCCTATTTATCGCGAAAAATATCGCATCTCGCTCCCTTCCGCTTTTTGAAAAAATTTGCATATACCGCGACGCACTGATTTAATTGATTGATTCGTCTGGAGTTCGACCTTGCAAACTTGCACGTGTAACTTTGACGTAACCGGTGCCAAATCCCCTTCGACGGTCGGCCAATGCGTTTCCGCGGAATTTTCCCGCGAGTAAGCGCTTGTATATTAATAGCACACGGCTGTAACATAAAATATGCGTGTAGCGATAAACAGGTGTCATTGACGCATCGGATTGAGTTGGATGTAATGACGGTGCGCATTCTGATATATTTTTAGTATTAACAGACGTGTTGTACGATTTTCACGCTGCATAAAATTTATCTTTTTTTCAGGCATCGTGTGTGAAAAGATTTCGTGGAAATAAATGATATTTATATGTCGCGAGATTTAAGTTTTCGTGTGATGAAATGTGTATCTTCTTTTGCTTATTCTTATACGGTAAAAAGCGATACATATTAAATGATACTTTGTAATTAACAGGACGCGAGATAACGAATAAACAAGTGGCGCAGAAAATATTACGAGTTGCAGCATTGGGATTCTTTTTAATGGCATTGCGAGATAAAGAGTTAAAAAAAGATATTAATATCGCGGAAAAGATGATTATAAAGTGCCACTTAATGGCGCCAACGATATGTCGATTCATCGAACGAGATATACACGACACGTGAACACGCGTCGCGTTAACATAATTTCTAAAAGATTCATCGCCGCGTAATTTTCCATTTGACGAGACGAGCGACGAGAACGTGACAGCACTCGAAACGAGAACAGACGATCGGTATTGGACGTTGCAATTTAATTTTTGCAAATTTTTCCCTTCATCCGTGGAATATATATCAGTCGAACCGGACTTGTTTTTGCTCTCATTGATACTGATGAGAAAATATCGCTGAAAAAACGCGAAACGATACCCTTTACAGTTTAAAGTTTAGCGCCACATTATACCGACAAAGTATATAGAAAAATTTCTAAAAAAGATTGCTTTCGATATATGTGCGTATAAAAAAAATGTATTTGCGCTTTCTGCACGTTAAAAGCACGTGTTACGTTGTGATCAGATATTATCATGCAAATTGATCTCGATACTAATCAGCGCTCAGACATGACGTGATCATGTGTTGCATCAATTATAAATTATAATAGCATATGTTTTAGCATTTAATTAACAGAGCGCATTCCGCAGTTATTTTTAATCTCTTAAAATTCATTATTTTGTTAAGAGAGTAAAATAGAAAAAAAATATTTTTGATAAATGAAGATCTAATATATCAGAGAGAAATTTTCGCGCGCAATAAATATCACTCCTCTTTTAATTATAAGAGATACTTTGATAGACATAACTTTTTGTTTGATGAAAAAAGAAGAAATCTTTTTTCTTAATCTATATCAAAATGTATACTGTATGCTTAAGTAATTTATCTGTTGTGTAAGGGATATAATGTAATTGCGTTATTACAAAATCATTGCGTTATATCAAAATGTGTATAAAGTATATCTGTTCAGAATATGAATACATCTTGTATCGTACAGAAAAAGTTTTGCAAATATTCCATGAATGATGTAACATAATATACATAATTCGTAAAGTATAATACATGACTAACGGATGATTGAATAGATAGACATAGAAATATTCCTATGTCTAGGTATTATGGAATGAAAAAAGTCGAGGGATGCTCGCAGACACAATGTTGTGAATAAATTGTTTATCGTTTACTGTATATATAAATAGTATCTCGCGATATAACTGTGCAACACGCGCTAAAATTATTTACGATTTAATGATTTTGTTGATGCAATTTTTTATGATACATGCATACATGAAAATATTGATGCTTTTGTCTGTGAGTTGAGAGAGAAACGAGATGTTTGTTATTGGCTGATAAGAAAATTTACAAATATCGGTGTTAATTCTAATAAACATGTATTATTGTATAACGGAGTAAAATTTTAATATTTGTTACACGGATGATTTATAGAGAGGGAAAGGAAGAATATGTGTTTCTTTTTCATGTGTGAATTAATAAAAAAAATCGCACAATAAGAGGATAAAATTAAAGTAAAGACAAAAACTCATATGTTAACAATTAAAGAAAGTCATTGTTTTTCTCTTCATAAGTCTCTCGTTCTCTTACAAGTAGAACACAGTGGTAATATGTATGCACTTCATATATGTATATCACTCTGATCTATTACTGCATATCTGCTTTACATAAAAATATTGTAATATCGGCATTTTCATGCTTTAGCAAATGCAGCAGCGCAGAGATTAGCTCTGTGTCCATGTCCTGTGTCACAGATAAGTATTTTATTTAAAATGAATTGAAAACTCCCCTATAAAACACAAAGAGTCACCCCATCACCTAGAGAATAACTATTAAAACTATTGCAATTGTGGTGTTCGTTTTCCGCTGTCTACGGTCGTATTATCTTTATGTATATTTACGTAGTTGTTTCTCTTTATGTAATTGCGACGAACTAATTTTGTATTCAGAATGTTTCAAAAATGTATGATCAAATTTTAAGAGTATATTCTCATCATAAGGTTGAGAAACTCATATAAACGTGGGTTCGAAAACGCTTCTTTCAATTCTTTTCCAAATTATAAACACTTTTTATTTGCAACAGACAATTTGCCGTAATAATTACATCAATTTTTAATTATTAAGACATTTCAAAACTCTTCTGTTGCTATTGTGAAAATAGCAAATACTCCGAAATCGTGTGATATAAAGTACGAAATACTGCAGACATTTTTTAATGTTTTTCCACGAAACATCGGTGCGAGGCATTCAGAAAGAAATCATTTTTAGCAATTTCTTTATTGAAGTGTTTCTAAGCGTTCTTTAATTAAGTTTCTCAAAGTCTGTTGTAAATTAAAAAAAAAAATGTATTTGGAAAAGAAGCGTTTCCTCACGTTCATTTGATTTTTTTTTCATCTTAGGTGAGTAGAATACGCTTTTAAAATTTAGCTATCTATTTTTAAAACGTTCTGTATATTCTGAACAGTTTAAGACGGTATTTTTAATGAGATCAGAATGTCTTCGATATTCGCCATTCGCAAAATTCAATTTGCTTAGAAAAATTATCATTCTTTGAACGGCGTTAAGCGAAATAAAGCTAATTCGATTATTTAGTAATTCGTTTTTATAAATACTTTAATCGATGTCATAATAATTTGCAGCTACGTATTATACCCGGCCCTGATAATGCTTACGAGTTCAGTTTTTAGAGTTAATTGTAACACGTAGATATCTTTTGATATCTTTTTTCCCCAAAAACAGATTGACATTAATAAAATAGCTATATTATCTTGGTAAAAAGAGCCTGTACAGTATTTGAAATATCGCTATCGAATTATATAGGAACCCCATTGATTACATTTACGAAATATTAAAGAATATATAATCATAAATTCTATATACAATACTTACACTAAGACTATAAATGTATATGCATTGCAAGTAAAGTCCGAAATGCAAAAGATGCATCTACATAATTAAATAAATTAATATACTTTGTAATGTACAAAATAATAACATACAGATATATTTCTCTCGATTAGATTGCTTCTTAAAATAAAAACACAAAAATTATTCATATCACGTAATGCCGAAAAAATTTTCAATAATTATAGATATCATTATTTAATTAAAAAAAAATTATATTTGTACATATAAATATACATTTTATCACACACATTGTAGACTTTACTTACAATGTATATATCAAATAAATGAATTTAATTTATATTATATACTATTAAATATCGCGTGTGAGACGGGCCAGTTAAATTAAATTTTTTCTTCGATGATTTTATATACTTTCAAGATCAAATATTTTTTTCCTTTTTCTTAATTTCTTCATGCAAAGCATGTCAAGCGTGTCAATTATAGATTAGGTTTCCCATATGTATACAAATATGCCATTGTAATTTCTTTTAATACTGACTAATCCTAAGAACACACTAATCGACACATCAAATTAGATGTAAGAGATGCACACAGCAATCTATATCGATATATACATCATGACCAATATGCATCTCTCTATCTCTGCTTGACGGTTTAGACTGAGCTTAAATATTATCACGTTTAAATGCTAGAAACAAGCTATTATAACGGCCATTCCTGTTTTCACAGTAATTTAGATGTTATTTTGGAATAGAATATATTCTATAAGTGCATATATTTCGGTCACACACATAAACACGCGCGCGCGCACACTGTTATTTTGTTTACAGTTCCACTCTAATCAATTAAAAATGGAAGAACCGATGGAGTTGGATACGAAATAGCTCGCCCTTTATGTCCGCGACAATGCGCCGCATGTCCTCGGTCTCTGACAGCAACAGAGACTGCGCAATCTCGCCGCGGGACTTAGCTCTTTCGATCACCGTTCCTCGACGCCCTCGTTACCGCCGCTTTCCTGCTGGGGTCTCGCAATTTGATATGTGATAAGATATTCAGGATAAGCTTGTTCGCCTCGATAAACAACGTATTCGGGGAATACCAAGCCTCCCTGCGACGGTCTACCCATCACACTATGGTGACCGGGAGGAGCGTGCGCCATTTTCATCGCCGAGAATTGTAAAAACGACTTACCGAGGGTAACTCTACACAGCAGTAAATGCCTGTGGCAAATATAACAGCTTCTGTCCTTATGCGCGGGACATCCGGTGCCTCCGCATATACCGTAAACATACTGGTTACTCTTACTGCTGTGTTCCGCAAAATATATCCCAGCGCCGAACATTCCGCCGATGTACGCGTGTCGCTCGTCGAATCCTTTCTGAACGATCGCGTTGATGAACGGACTTCCGTGGAACAGCATTCTCTCATTCGCCTGGGACACGGTCGAACTGGAAGTGCCCCTCGGTCCAGTGCCGGGAGACGCGGGAGCGGCGGCACCGACTTCTTCAGCGACTTCCTGTCTTCTATGAGCGTAACGCTCCCACAACTTACGATTCTGAACTTTTTGTATCTGGAAAATGTACAAGATATTTTTGAATATGCCGAAAAAATATTATTAATTATTTCTTATACTTCTGATATAGTTAAATAGAAATTATACGTACTCTAACTATATTGTATCGTGAAAAGATACCGCCAGAGTGGCCATTGTCCCTGTGTTGCCTAATAGTACTTTGCATTTCTTCTTCAACGGCTAAGAATTCTTTGTCCTCCGCTAATAAATCCACTAATAATGTCCCGGGATTTATGGAAGGCTGCCAAAGAGAGCCCGCTGCTGTGTTCAATAGTTTGTCCATGCCTTTAATTAATTTATGCCTATAACCATAAGCTGACACTCCAACTTGCTTTAAATCCTCGTGACCCATTTCCGCCAGTATATCTAAAGTAATTTGCTCGCGTTCGAACAGCTCGAGTAAATGTTCCAAACCGAGGCTCTGTAGGAAACCAGCGACAGTCGTGATGGAACCGTTGTGTTCTTTACATAAATCCTTGGACTCTTTTTCGGAGCATGGTTCGCTCGGTGGCATTGGACTCAGACACGATGTCGGACGAGCCAGTGGTACGCATAGAGTCATAGCCGCTCCGGATGGCATGATAACTGTTTCTTGAGTGAGTGGCGGCGGCGGTGTAACGGGAACTAGGTAGAAGAGATTAACAAATGTTATTAGAATCTTTTCTGCATCTTTTCTACATTTCGAATCTTTTATGTTTTAATTAAGCTCGAAGAATTTTTATATGATATATCATTACAAAATATTCTTACCGGATATGATACTGGGTGGCCTACTGTTGACAGGATTG